AGCACTGTGCAGGCTCCTCTCCTGTGCGAAATGTGCTCTTCAGTGCCTGGAACTCAGACCTGATGCAAACAAGATGAACACATCTCTTTCTCGGTAAGCTGAAGGAATTCAATGTCCATACCATCAAAATGAAGAAATAAAGTTGACTTCCAGTAGCTGATATAGCACAATGTTTAGAAACGTACACGTAACTACTTGTGTAGGAAAAAAATATAGCAGAGGACAAACTGTTTCAAGGGCATTGGTTACAGAGCAGGAATTCATTCTAGTTACAACTTTCACATTTTAGTTCATGGTAGTAAGTTTCATTTTAAAAGGGGCTACCTCTGCCTTATCGTAGCTGCAGTTTATGTGGTTGTGATGATGTTTTAATAGGCTTTTTGTTATTGCAAGATTTCTTTCTAGATGTTTTATAGACATGACCTTATATCTGCTTTTGAGGTTCAAAGTAATGCATTTATCTTGCAATTCAGGTGGCAAAGAGCAAGCACCTGGTGTGTTAAGACAGCTGACCTCATGGTTAAGCACTTAAACACCCTAACTCCATTGCATTTAATTCACACGTCTGACTTTTTTACACCAAAATTACTTCACAAACATTATTCCCACCTTATTGCAGCTGAGAGATTAATCCAGTCCAAAAATATTTCAAATGGAATTTTCTATCGATTTCATTATGCTGTTCCCAAAGTTACGCTTTGTGCTGACAAAAGTACGAGAAAAGGCGACTCAAAGCATACCTTCCTCATTGGCTCAGGAGGAATATTATATCTTCCTTATAACACAAACCAGGGAGAGAAGCCAGCTGGTTCTGAGGTAGGACTCGACATCAATGTAAACAACAATCACAGATTGACAGTGCATTCCACAACACCTGGCTTTTTTTCATGAAGTTCTACCTTCTGAGATGAATTGGTTCTGGGAACGATTTAACTTAATCAACAGAAAAAAGAAGGGGGAATTTCTGGTCCTGCAGGCTGGAAGGAAGCATTTGAAAAATCTAGCCTACAACAGGACAAAGTCATCTGATTTCTGGAAGAGTTACAACCCATGTCCCTGCTCCTTCATATCCCTGCAACTCTCCCTTTTCTCAGAAACGTCCTGGTTCTCTTCCATGTCCACTTGGTCCGTCTCCAACACAAGCTCCAATCCCATCCCGCTCCCTATCTATTTTTTCTGGGTCGCTGGCCCGCTGAGGGATGACACACCGCCAGTGGTCCAGAGCGATCAGCATGCTGACTAACGAGGAAGCAGCACAAGCTGATTGGCTAATTAGAGGCTGCCAAAAGGATGGGTAATGGTTGGGCTCTGTTTGCCTTCTCCTCAGGGAGGGCATTAGTAATCTCCTTTTTCCCTACGCAGTCAACTATTTTTCCATAAAACTCGCAGTAACACTGTGTCTTTGAAACCTCTCTATCGGTCAGATTTGGTGGGGGTGGGTTTGGGTTTTTTTCCTTCTTTTTTTTTTTAGTTTTTCCAATGAGTACCACAGCTCCTGGTGGAAGGGGGAAGGAGAGGAGAAGTTGACAGGTAGACAGATGTGGGCCTTTTTCCTTGAGAAAGGAACATTCTTACACCACTGGATTTTGGGGGCCTGACCCATGATCTTTGAATAGTTTGGATTGGGAATACTATTCGCTATTGGCAGGCACAGCGGGTAGAATGACACAAATCCCAAAGATAATATTAAAATGCCATAAAGTTCAGTAGGATGTGCATTTCATTTTTAACTCTTCTTTAGTTTTGCTACTGGTAATGTGTTGGTTTGGGTTAACTTTAAATTTTTTTTTTTTCAAATAAATTTTTGGAACAACTTTTACCTGGTCACTTAATCACTTACTTTTCTTACTTCTTTCACCTACTTCTGTAGTCATCACTTTCCAAAACCCTACAATGAAAGTCAGAAAAAAAAAACCAAACAAACTGCATATTATATTATTATTATTATTAAAGAAATTAAATCCTTCCAGAGCTCCTAATCAAGTGCAACTGTTTAAGCCCTCTTCCAAATTCTTGCAGTTTCACAGAAAAGGCAGCAACAACAAGCAATGAAGAGGAACGTATTCTACTAACAGCCTAGAGCTATTCAGAGTACATGGATATGCAGGGAATTTTATCAGGGAAAGGGAAAAATATTGCTCTTGGTAATGCAGCTGCTGGTGAATTCTGGGGCACTTTTATCATCCTTGGTTGGTTGTCCCTATGTCACCACTCCAGTTGCTATTGCTGCCTCCCACTTCTAAACAGCAAGCAGAGGCACAGTGCTCCACGGGACCTTGTGCCACCACGTGTCACCTCGGTGGCTGAGAGCAAGCTCAGCTCTTGCTCGGAGCTCACAGGGGTTTCAGGCTTACAGGAGAGGTGTTTGGTCCTGCAGCCATCCACAAATGCCTCACAGATTGGAACAAAGGGGCCCTTTTTTGCAGATCAGTGGAATCATTGAAGAAGACTGGAAAAAAAATAAAGTTCTGCATGCGTTAGCTGATGGTGAGGCACAGTCAGAGCGAGACGACTTTGAAGGAGAAGGAGCAGGCCAGGTACCACCAGGGAGCACTGGGTAAGCTGCTGCAGAGCTCATGCAGAGAGGAGTCAGGGTGCTGGGGGCATCGCTTTGCTGAACGCTTCTGCCCTCTCCAACGCAAGTGGCTTACAGCCACAGCCTGCCAGAGCATTTAATTACTCTGAGATTAATGACTGCAGCATTATTTCCACCTGTTTACTGATGGTTCGTTGTTCTCTTTAAAACCGTGTAAACCTGCTACCTGCCAAGGCTTCCACTTGGGGGTTGATTCCCTTTTATACCCAACTGGTTAAGTCATTCTGGTTTAAAATAAAAAAAAAAAAAATTAAAAAGATTTAATATGACATTCACTGTCATAATAGTAAAAAAAATGAACAAACCCTAACCTAAACCTCCCAAAAATTCACCAACAGGGTCAGTGCTTTTCAGAAAGATTCTTACTGTGAATCATCATATGCATCTTCCATAAAAATACATTTCCAGCACTTAAAATGGACTAAGAAACTGCTTAAAATATGTTATAGCCATGGCAGGTAATCTCCACTGCAAACTCGGATCTATCCTGACTTCTAGTTCCAGTGGACCACAATCTCATTTATGTTACCACATGTTGAGACGAGCTGCACCGGTATCTTGTGCAAAAAGCAAGTGCTCAAGAGCTAAGACGTCAAACTGCTTGCTTTAAACGTGGATTTTGGCTGAAATCAGAATATCAAGGTCTGACCCTAAAGCTGTAACCCTGGAATGTGCGAGCGTGATGCGTGTATCGCTTGCATCAACTTCACACCAGGGCAGGACAATCAATTTCAATTGAATACTCATGATTTACGTCAGTGGTCATGAGCTGAATATTAGGGTCAGTTCTGTGCCAGGCAACGAATTTGCATGCCCTAGAATATGAATGACTAGGCAGAAAACAACTCTCTGAAAGTTCTGTCCCATATCTTTCCATATACCATATACATGAACATATGCAAAAAGCCCTGTTTGCCACATTTTAAGTGTACTCAGAATGAGAAAAGAAGAGAAACTCAGTGAGAAACTGACAATTCAGTCCTGACTTAGGCAAACTTTGGCATATTGCATGAAATTCAAGGATTTGCCTTTGCTGCAATATAAAGATTCCAAATATAGATATAGATACAATAGATAGAAATTCCAGGATTTCTGTTTGCTGTAATATACAGCCTATGCTGAACAGAAACCTCCCGCCCCCCCCACCTCCCCAGTTAAGTAGGAATTCCATAATTCTTGCTAACAGCACATCAAATGTGAACTACACTGCTGTAAGATTTTATAAGCCATAACCTGTAAGTATAAAATCACATCTAGATATATGTCCCTTATGCAGAAAGCATATTAAAATGGTAATTTAAAAAATATCAGCAGGATATAGAGAACTTGCAAATATTTGAGTAAAAAGCAAAAGAAAGAACAGAAAGGTATCACTTTAGTTGGCATAATACAGATATTTTCAAGAAGATATACGGACAGTAGAGATTTAAGTGTTTTAAGTATTTTAATGTATTCACTAATAATGGAAAAAACAAGCTGGACTATTCCTCTACAGTATTAGAGTGAGTAGCTAAAGATATTCCTTATAAACACCTTTGCTACTAAAGATCTCTCAATATTTAATTTCCTGCCCAGGATTCTGCTGACCTGGTGATAGTATGAAGAGGGGACAGACTCCTTCTTCATAACTGGCTGTTAATTCAGTAAAGGATTTGTTCTGTGGATTTTGATATATAATAAAGGGACAAACAAGATATGCATTTACACAGAATCATATATGCACAAATTCTTTGTTACTGCTTTAGGTAGTACCTAGCAAGAAAACCCATTAAGATTTTCTGAAATATGAAGCGCTCAATATATTTCAGTTGTTGAACAACATAATCAGTACTGTTTGCAATCCATTTCTGTCCCCCCCCCCCACCCCCGCTGCCTACTAACAGTAATCCCTTGGGATTTTCTTTTAAATAGCACAAACTTTCAAGTCAAAAAGCCTGTCAGAAGCCTCAAGCAAGTTTAGAGAGAGGTCTGTCTTAATTCATAGTGCAAGTACCCAGTTGGTATATATTTCAGAATGACAGTGCTGTCTTTCAGTACTGCTGCCCACAATGCTTGGAAATATATCCTTTCAGTATGCGAAGGCATATCCTCTGCGAAGCACCCAGATAAATCAGTTCACCCTTAGCTGTAACTAAATGCTGTCTAGTGACTTGTGATCGACAGGGCTTTGCCCTCTGACAGCCAGATTCATTGTTGGGACAGCAACCAATCGTCGGGTTTGACGACATGAGCCTAATCAAAGTTGGAGTATAAAAAGCCCCCTTGGAATATATAAGGTACACCAGTGGCAAGCTGTCTCTCAGATTGCATTTGCTCTCACGGATCTGTTTAGTGCTGAAAGGGAAAGGGGAGGGGGGGGGGAAGAAAAAGAAAAGGGGAAAAAAGCTGCACTGAATGTGAGATCATGCAAAAGCTAGCGATCTCTGTTTATATTTACCTGTTCATGCTGATTTCAGTTGATCTGGTGGCTCTTGATGACGGTAATCAGCCCACAGAAAACGCCGAAAAAGACGGACTGTGCAATGCTTGTACATGGAGACAGAATACAAAATCTTCCAGAATAGAAGCTATAAAAATTCAAATCCTCAGCAAACTGCGCCTGGAACAAGCTCCTAACATTAGCAGGGATGTTATTAAGCAACTTTTACCCAAAGCTCCTCCGCTACAGGAACTGATTGATCAGTATGACGTCCAAAGAGACGATAGTAGCGATGGCTCTTTGGAAGACGATGACTATCATGCTACTACTGAAACGATTATCACAATGCCTACGGAGTGTAAGTAACCCTGCTGCTTTCGCCTCCCGCCGCTCCTCCGAGAGAGTTGTCTCCCTGCCGTAGAGCCACACAACTCCTCCTCAGGCTCTCCCAACTGCTGCTGGCTGGACTCTGCTAGAGGGAGGGAGGAGAGCATTATTTCTAAAGAATTCGAGCCAGGTTCAGATGACCGTGTTGCGATCCTTTGTTTTACTGTTTGGTTTTCAGCTCCTTATAACGGGTATGCCCTGTAGCACTTAGGATTTGCCCATTGCCTTAGAAAGCAAAGGGAGAGCTGCAGTTTAGTTGATTTTGTTATCTGCAGTAGTCGGGGCATTTCCTATCACAAATATAAAGTATAAGTGCAGATAATGAGATGTCCATATTTTTCTGAGGGAGGTTTCACTGGCCAGTGTTTTTAGGAGCAGCAGAAATCAGCTGAAATACAGCTCAGAGCACTAGACTTACCTAACTGCAATGTGCTACAGCAAATGCAAGTATAGAGTTAAATTCTTGCTTCTTTGCTGCTCCCATAAACTAGCACCACCTCCTTTGGAGTTAAAACTATATATTTCAAGCAAATATGTGTGTAACGGATTTAAATGTTAAAATGTCCATGCTCTAGCAGTCAGCTCCAGTAGTCATGCCAAGGAAGAATGAAGGCATTTACTGAACGAGCAGATTCTGAGTTACCTTCTGAGTGCTAAACATCTGCTATGGCTCCTATCAAGTGTCTTTTGCATGGCTAATACTATAGTCTCTTATGTTCTTCATCAGCTAAAGTATTTGGCTATGGCAGCTGGTTTTTTAAAATAACACTTACGAATATGATGTCAAAAAGGAAAAAGATGACAGGACATATAAAGCATGTTAGCAGTTACAGATATCGTTACAATACACACGTTAGAATAATATCAGCTGCTCTAGCCAGCTAAAAATGTGTGCATCGATGAAAAAGTAACGTTAGCTGTTACGTTTTTCAACCTACTAATTAATAAGATGTGTACTTAGCAGCAATATATTACTGCAGCCTTATCACAAAGCTGAGCTCTGCCAGCAGTTTTTATTCCAGCCTGTTATGAGCAAGGCTTTATAACTAGTTTTAATTAAACTGTTATGTAGCTATCACAAGTGAAGAAAAGTCATTGTACTTCATTGATCAGAATTCATTTCCTGCTTTTTATAAAAAGCCCTTGAACTATTTTAAATGCACTAAAGAGACAGGTATCTTAAGTGGTGAGATTTATGAATGTCAAAGCCCCGCACCATTTAAGATTAGTATTACCCATTTTATCCTGGCATGGGAAGACATTGCCATGACTAGGTATGACAGCTGCTTCCTAGGCTACAGGAAAGAGGAACGCTGTCCTGAACGTCACTTTTCTTCTCATTTGAACAACATTATAGGAACCAAAATGATCCCTAGATTAATATTCTTTTAATTATTTTTTTTTCTGTTGAGAAAAGAAATTAAAGTGTTCATGGAGTTTGCCCATGGCTGCCTGTTTGTATGAAGTGTAGCAGCCTAAGGCTATTTAGTAAACTAGCAGTAGCTGGATCACCACACACATGTGGAGTCAGCTTGTGCAAAGTTGCTGTTCTGCATGCTTTATGAAGGTCCTCAGGAGATGACTGTCAGAAATGAACTGGCAGCAGTCACTGTGAAGTGGAATAGGCTCTGCCCTCTCCCCAGGCAGTTTTTGTTTGGGAAAGAGCCTTTTTTGCAGCTGTACTGGACAGCCCCCAGCACTGGTACCGCTGGTCAGAGACTGAGCACATCAAGGACTGCAACGGTCCCCCTACAGTGTGCATCTTCTCATGGTTGCCCATCATTTCCGAGTTTCAGCCTGAGCATACATCTGCTCTGCTCAGCCTCTGGAGCACAAGGCACCAACTAGAGTTATTTAAAAAATGATTAGCCAACCCTCATTTTAGCCTGTTCACAAAACAATCATCAGTTCCTTGTCACACGGTATTACTTCTAGCTGACAGCATAATGATTTTGTTGATATCCATTAAAATTGCTGTAGAGAGTAAACCACAGAAAATTAATTAAGTTAAATCTGCTTTGTTACTGATGCTGTTTGTAACATACTGTGAGACTTCCTACATGGTCTGGAAAAAAAACAAATTGGGTTTATATATGCATGTTTCTTTTTGTTCCCTGTTCAGTAATTTGTCCTTTCCATTCATTTATAGCCGATTTTCTTCTGCAAATGGAGGGAAAACCAAAATGTTGCTTCTTTAAGTTTAGCTCTAAAATACAATATAACAAAGTAGTAAAGGCACAATTGTGGATATACTTGAGGCAAGTCCAAAAACCTACGACAGTGTTTGTCCAGATCCTGAGACTTATTAAACCCATGAAAGATGGTACAAGATATACTGGAATTCGATCTTTGAAACTCGACATGAACCCAGGCACTGGTATTTGGCAGAGTATCGATGTGAAGACAGTGTTGCAGAATTGGCTCAAACAGCCTGAATCCAATTTAGGCATCGAAATAAAAGCTTTTGACGAGAATGGACGAGATCTTGCTGTAACTTTCCCAGGACCAGGTGAAGATGGATTGGTAAGTTTATTTAGTAAAATCTCATTTAAATATCTTACATTTTATTGGAAAGCATTTAAGACGTGTTTCAAGGATAAAATGGAAGCATTGTTTAGGGAATGGAAGATACAAGTTTTGTATAGACAGGTCTGTCTTTCTTTGCTCTCTGACCATGTCAAAATCAGTGGCTTTCTGTGTCTCTGTTTCCCTATTTGAAAAATTGAGACAAATTGCAGCTCTTTAGAGGGATGCTGAGGGGCATTACCTAGAAAATTTCTAGTAATTAGTGATGGATGGTACTATCAAAGTAATGTTGTTTTCAAATTTGAGAGCAAACACTGCTTAATAAGCAGCTATTTTACATAAAGCTAAAAGAATAGCTGTTAAGACTCTTTGATTGATAGGAAAGTTGCCTCTAATATTGCTGAGAAAGTGAGGGAGTTTCTCCCTATTCTGTATGCCTGCATTTTCTATTATCAGCAGCAAGAATTACCTATGCTTATGAAGGTGCTAACAGATTTTCTTCATAATGCTAAGCTGTGTACCTTCCAGTATGAGACAGAGTGCATTATTCCACCTATTAGAAATGTTTGAATGGAGAAATTCTGCTTGATACAATAAATGGGTCATAATGATGAGAAAAAGCATAAAATAAATGTTTTCTTTTTTTAAGTATAGATGAACAAGTTAAACCTGAAGTGCACCAGTTAAACTACAGCATTTCCCTTGCTATTTGTTTCTGCAAATCGCCAATCATCTACAGCCTATAAAAACTCCTGAACCTGTCACAGCTCAAACAATCACAACCAAGAAATCCCTCCTTTTGAATAAAGCATAAAGAATATTATTTTACTTTTACTTTTGAACAGTAGATCAATCTGTTTCCCATAGAATCATTTAGGTTGGAAAAGACCTTTACATCGAGTCCAACTGTGTCTGTGTAGCTATGTAACGTTTAACTTCATAGCAGCGTAATGCAGTTAAAAGACCTTAAAGGAACAACACTGTGATGCCTTAATTTTAGACCCAGTAGAGGTGTGGATCTCCCACACTTGAAACAGGCCAGATGGATATCACGATAAGGAACGTCTTCACCACCTCCATCCATTCAAACACCCAGCGCTGTGTTTTCACACGTGTGGATAACCCATGGTTATCATCATCTGTGAAAACAAACTGATTCAGCAGCAGGGCACGATTAGAGGCCTGGCTGATAACAGGAGAAGAAATTTCTCTTCTCTTCCCTCTGGCTCCTCTCCGGCAGCTCTAGGTACTGGGATGCTCCTCTCAACATGCTCCTTCCCGTATCACTTACCTTTGGGAGGAGCACCTCCAGCAGCCGGACAACTTGCAGCTGTAAAATGGGTATCTTGGAAGGGACAAACCCGTGTAACAAAGTTATCTGGGCTGTTATTTACTCCTAAGGAACGGTCTTCCTCTGTGGGACAGCTCAGTCAGAGCCAAACCAACACACGGGGCTGAAATCAGTGCATGGAAGGGAGGAAACTCCGGGAACTTTTTCAAACTCATGATTGTAAAGGTCGGAATTTCTTTCTATTCTCAGTTGGTGACTGTGGGAACACACCTTTGGTAGGAGGCACGTGGCTCAGAGCCCTGCCAAAAGTCCATTCCTGGCCACAGGGACTCTTTCAGGAGTCAAAACATTGGCTGCCTCTCCAAACTCAGTAAGGAAAATTCAGCCCTCTGGCAGAGGGGAAAGCTGTGAAGTACAAATAACCTGTCCCAGCAGGTGAAACACTCATTTCTACTGCCATTGCCGTCATTCAAAAACAATAGCAATTATGGAGCAAATTTTGTCTTCCTCGGTCTGGACAAGAAGCCTTCCTTGATATCCAGAAAGCCTGATTTTAATGGAGGGAATTTCAGAAGGACTCACAAAAAGAAAAAAACGTATCTCTTATTACAGGGTTTAAAAAAACCAACCAAGCAAACCCCACAACAAGAATAGAAATTCTGAAAATTTCTGCAACATTCTTTTAGCAGTTAACAGGAACAATGCTAGCACTGAGATGAGGGTGATTTCAGGAAATGCTGGTCCTCAGCATGAAAGAGAGGAATAATCCTCGAGCAGAGATCAAACGTAGCAGAGATTTGGAGGAGGACAAAGTTCTCTGAAGGGTGTAACTTCAGAAATGTTTGCAAATATTATTTAAGAATATGGGCTTGATACAACACATCTATGTCTGAAATATTATATATTTTCACGGCGTTACTGAACTTAGGCTTACCTCTGTAATACTTCTGATTCCTTCTTCTCTCCCCACAGAACCCATTTTTAGAGGTCAGAGTTACAGACACACCGAAACGGTCCCGCAGAGATTTTGGCCTCGATTGTGACGAGCACTCAACAGAATCCCGATGTTGTCGCTATCCGCTGACAGTGGATTTTGAAGCTTTCGGATGGGACTGGATTATCGCACCTAAAAGATACAAAGCCAATTACTGCTCCGGAGAATGCGAATTTGTATTTTTACAAAAATACCCGCACACTCACCTTGTACACCAAGCAAACCCCTTTTTGCTGCACGCCCACCAAAATGTCCCCCATAAACATGCTGTACTTCAACGGGAAGGAACAAATAATATACGGCAAGATACCGGCCATGGTTGTAGATCGCTGCGGGTGCTCATGAGATTGTTGTGAGATCCACCGCTTCATGAATTGTGGAAGCTACCAAAAAGAAAAAAAAAAGTTATACCCCCTCACCAGTCTTTGAAACTGTGAAGTTACGTACGCTAGGCATTGCCGACATCCTACATGCTGTATGATAGGCTATCGTACAGATTTAGCGCAGCACCAGCTACAGAACGTGAACTCAAGGACGATATAGTTACCTAATGGCTGGCTTTGAGCCAGTGAAAAAGAACAGCTACAATCAAAGTCACCGGAGTTCATAAATGAAGTTCTTACATCGTGAGGGAACCAATATTCAGTCATTCAGACGCAAGTTTATATGCAGGTTTCAGTACACTTGGTAATCAAAAGCAAGCTCCTTCTCATCTGAGGATGGAAGGAGTGGGCTTTGAAATCCATTTCTTCACAGCTTCACTTAGTATTTTATTTACAGGAAAATATATACTGGTAACATACACCACTACACAATAGTACCAGAATCATCCTTAAACACTTGAATATATAGTGCACAATTGTGAAATGTATCAGAGGAAATTCCACACAAATGGACAAACCCTGAAATTAGGGATGGCGTAGTATATTTAGCGTGTTTCCATTCCTTTTTCTCATTAGTTTGTTAGTAATCAATGGCAATGGTGCTACGTAAGCAGGCTGAGTAAATAGAGAGACAGTTTTCTAAGTGAAAGAATTTAGGATAATAATGAATTTGCCCTATCCTCAGGTACACTATTCAACATTCGCAAGAAATATTTTTTAAAAGAAAAGAAATAGTTTTCTAGACATAGTAAACCAAAAGGCAGCAGAGAAGGCTAACATGAGAATCACAGTCCCACCTAATAACCTGCCTTTGCAACATTACCGTTTGCACTATGATAAACCAATGCAAATAGTTGGTTGCTACAGATATTGTTTAAAAAACCACTTTGATATAACTGACTTGTGTAATATGTATGCATCAATATTTTGTAAATAAATGTTTATTTTTTAATCACTGTTGGTATATGTTCATGGCAAGAAAAGAATGAATTTAACCTGTACTTTAGTTTAATAAACAAGAACAATAATCTCTTCATAATATAATTTCCTGGAATTTAATCACAAATAACATGTAGGAACAATGCAACAAAGTAAACCATATGTTGAGAATTATACTACATTTTATATGTTTTTTACATTGGTATGAGCCATCTGTGATAAATGATGGGTGTTGACATGTTTATAAGGTTCTTTGGGTTACTGTTTTTATGGTAATTTTCATCCATAACTGATTTTCCGTACTTTGAATGTTATGTCCATAAATAACGATGATACCACAAAAGATTGCTATTAAATGCATTTTATTATATTTAAAAGTTTGCAGCAAAGTATTATCTTTATTTTAGTAAACATAGGACATGGATTTCTACAAAAAATCTGTACATTTTCCTTATGGTAAAAAATTATTAATTGAAATTAAAAACAATTATTTACTATAAAGTCAATTTCATTTCACATGTGAAATAGAACGATAAAACAGGTGTCTGTTAAGACAACGACATCTTCATGTTAGTTTGATACACACTTTTGTTATTCTCCAGAATTCAGTTTTGAAATTTCCTTTGTGTAAAACCACCCTGAAATTGCATAAATACTTGAGCTTCTTTATTTTTCCTCTTTCATATATTTTCTGCCTAGGTGGTAAATATTTTGTATTAAGTTTTCTACTTTTTTTTATTTGTATGCAAGGACATTAAAATGTAAAGTTCGAGCGACGAGATTTAAAACTTAAAAGCAAACAGATTTTCTACGTTTTCTTTTGAACAATTAGGAGTTCTGCTAAAGCTGCATCCGAGCACCAAGCAGATGTTCAGCTTCTGATGGAGTTCATCAGAGCAGGTCTCTGGGGCCCTTAAATACACTTTCAATTTAGTTTCCCACAAAACACAATCAGAGTAAATAAAAGATAATTTAAAATTCTCAGAATACGGAGTCTTGGTGAAGCCACAAGAACTAAAAGTATAACACAATTCCTTCCCCTCCAAAAAACAAGGTTACAGAATTAAGGGAGAAACCCGAGTTTTGCTGAGGTTAACAGCAAAACTTCCCCTGGCCTTAAGGGAGACCAGCGTTTTGCCCTTTGACTTTTAACTCGTGACATTCTGGCACCAGATAGTCCCACGCTGCTCATATGAACTATCAATAGCATCTCTCTGCATGAGGCATACCAAAAGCCTCCTAAACCATTCAGAGACTTGAAATTAACTTCCATTGTATACTGTGGAGTTAGACCTTCACTAGCTTTAACCGACTCAGTTCAGATAGCAGAGGTGCGGCAGATGGATTTTGGAACTGACAGCAAACAAAATATATTCCCAGCCTGCACCAAAGTCCTGTTACAATCACGCATGATCATTTTTACTCCTGATAGCTAAACTAAAGCTAATGCAAATTCAGTTATCCACATTTAAGTGGCTCCATTGGCTGCCCAGTAATAACTGTACCCTGCACAAACGTGGCCACAAGGGGTGGGATTTTTTTTTTTTTTTTTTTTTTTTTTTTTTTTGCTGGTATTGGTGAAAACAAAAACAAACAAAAACAAACCAAAAATGAGAAAAGAAATAATACAAATTCCCAAAAGCATCTATTCCAACCAGAATTTCATCTTGACCTTCAGATAAATTTCATTCCATGGAAATTTTATGCAGTGTGTGTCCTTCATATTTTGCTAAACTTGACATTATTGTAGAGCAGTCCTGGCTCCCATGTTTTTGATACTGACCTCCCATACAAACGGGTACTCAAGGAACACGCTTGGGGCTTTGGAGTTCTTGATTTTAGCTGCTGAGTGATTCACAATGAATGTGTTTATTGTCAACCAATTTGAGATGGCAATGATTAATTCAGTTCTTATTGTTACATCCTTACATTTCCAAGGCTCAGGTCCTAGAGACTTCAGCAGCATCCGCAAGTGCTTCACATGTCACTCAAATCTCACCGTTAAACTGCATACCCAGAAAGACAAAAACAAGTAACGAGGGACAATTTCCAAGAAATAAGCAGCCTCATTGCCCTGCCTGGCATTGTCAGAACCCCACAGGAACAACGCAGGTAGAATCCAGCTTTCCAAGGCAGTGTTCAAGTGCCCCGAGACGTGTGAGCACGCCTGCAACAGGGCAGTCCCTCATCTCAATTTTGCTTCGACTCTTCCCCTTGGCTCTACCACCTAACTCCTCCCCTCTCAACACAAGCCAGGTCTCTTTGCCAGCGCTGTTCTACCCCTACCTCTGACCCAGTTCCAGCACACTGTGGTTCAAGTAGAACTTCCCCTCCCATTTTTGGTGGCATCTCCCAGCCCACATCTATCCCCAAGACACCTCACATTCTGCCCTGTATCCCCTTTTGCAGGGGGATCAGCCCCCCAGCGGTATTGCCCCCTGCCCGTTAACCAGATCCAACGCATCCTGCTTCTGCTGAATGCTGCGGTTTCCAGTACACTCAAATGGAGCCTTTGGGGAATTTAACAGCTGACACAGAAGTTATCACCACTAAGCACATGTGAACAGAAATTTTTCACAGATGTACTGTTTTGCTGAATATGAGCAGGTTTCAAAGAAACAACTAAAGGCCAACTCCATTCATAGCTTTAGGTAGCTTTTCCTCAATTCTGTGGAGTCCAGGTTTGGTTTTTGTGGTTGTTCATTGGTGGTTTGGATTTTTTGCAGGTTTTTTGGGGTGGTTTCTTTTTTAATCAGGGAGATTATTGAATTGACTCATTCTTGGATGCGAATGAGCTCTTTTGGCTAAAGGTCTTAGGAAAGAAATCAGACTAAGACTAGGCTTGGACAGTTCAGTCCAGGCAGTTACATTTTGTTAAAGTTACAGCAAGACAAAGCAGGGTATTATTATGTGAAGTACTGGACAGACAAACTTAATAACCAAGTGACCCCACCTCCACTTACAAATTTAGTTAAGAATAATTCAAAAAAGTTAGGAAATAGTAGGTTTATTTCAAAACACCGTACCTATATAATTGAGCAAAAATGTAATTAAGAACCTTAGTTATCTGTTTTAACTGACCCCAGTCAGCCTTGTGCAAGCTGTGCTTGCACTTTAGCTTCATCCCAACAATGTTGTCTGCAGCAAGTAGATACCTGTACGTTCACCTAACACCAAGACACACAGCAGAGAACCACTCAGTAAATTCCCAATGTGACTGCATCCGCTTCTCTACGCAACTTTCCCCTGCAAGCAGTAAGAACATAACTCTCATTCAAAATGCATGTGTAGCATGTTTGAATCCATAAAAATGAGATGTTAACAAGCTCTGGAAACACCGAAGCACCAATTCTCTCTCCTGTTTAGTTTATAAAAGCCCTGATGAGATACAAAGGAAGAAGTCAGGGCTACAGACCAAGTTCTCAGTTTGAAAAGGCAAGAAGTACAGCTCTGTTCGCTCTTGGCTATTTCTGAATACTCACAAAATAAGTGATAGTGCCAGCATCTGCCAAAGCAATGTTGTGGAAAAAAAAGCAATGGAGAAGTGCAAATGTACAGTTCATTCAACAGTAAACTACTGCAATTAATTACCAGGTGTATTGACAAATTAGGCAGAATCCTCCTCTTTGGTGGCTGGACAGGGTGAATCATAGAATCACAGAACGGCCTGGGTTGACAAAGACCATAGTGATCATCTAGTTTCAATCCCCTCGCCATACGCAGGGCCGCCAACCACTAGACCAGGCTGCTCAGAGCCACATCCAGCCTGGCCTTGAATGCCTCCAGGGATGGGGCATCCACGACCTCCCTGGGCAACCTGTTCCAGTGTGCCACCACCCTTTGGGTGAAAAACTTTCTCCTAATCTCTAACCTAAACCTCCCCTGTCTTAGTTTAAAACCATTCCCCCTTGTCCTATCACTATCCACCCTCGTAAACAGGCGCTCCCCCTCCTGTTTATAGGCTCCCTTCAAGTACTGGAAGGCCGCAATGAGGTCTCCCCGGAGCCTTCTCTTCTCCAAGCTAAACAAGCCCAGTTCCCTCAACCTTTCCTCACAGGAGAGGTGCTCCAGCCCTCTGATCATCTTAGTGGCCCTCCTCTGCACCCGCTCCAAGAGCTCCACGTCCTTCCTGTGCTGGGGGCCCCAGGCCTGGACACAGCACTGCAGATGGGGCCTCACAAGAGCCGAGTAGAGGGGTACAATCACC